CCGGCTTCACCCCGTGCCGGGGGCAGACTCTCCAGCCCCGGGCCAGCGGCTCTTCAGTGTTGGTTCATTTCTTTGCCAGCGGGTCGGGAGGGCTGGGGGGGCCAGGGCTGGTCTGGATGGTGACTTGTAGTTAGAGAACGTGGGCTAGTTATCTGCTGTCTGGTTTGACTTTTAATTTTTTGGCAAGTGACTTGTGTCCGTGCTCCGGCCAGGAAACCAATTGTACTCGGTCTCTGTCGCCACCGAAATTGCGGTCTTCAACCAGTCTGTTTCTCTCTTTTTTCCTTCCTTTTTTTTTTTTTTTTTTTTTGTGTGTGCGTGCGTGTATGTGTGTGTGCGACCTCTTCATCTGATGTTTAATAATAAAAGGGATGAACGTTATTGCCTGTATCTCTACTGCCTTTCTCTGAAGTCCGAGGAGTCACAATGTTTGCTGGGTGGCCTGGCGTTGTGGTTGATGCAAGCAGGGTAGAGCCCTGGGGAGATGGCGGCATCGCAGCCCCCTGTGGTACCCAGCTCCTGCGCCCTTAGGAGGGGGACGGAGCAGTGGCAAGGCACCCTGGCTGCTTCAGGGTGCGATTCCCTGCCATGCTCGGTGTCAGCAGCTGCCTGCCCAGGCTGGTGGCACTGCCATGTCTGTGATGGCTAGAGCAGTGTTGGTGCCCATGTCTCGATCCATCCTATGGCCAGCCTGGACTGCAGTGCGTGTGCTGCAGCATGGGATGGGGTGACACGGGAGTCGTAACCCAGGGTTCCTGGGTGCTACCAGCACCATGGGCTGCTTTCTGCAGGGTTTGCTGAGCCCCCAGGCAGACTTGGCCCTAAGGATCAGAGGAGAAAGGGAGGTGTGCCTGAGGGAGAGATCTCCAGGCCCAGTGGGATGGTCCCAAAGAGGCTCTGGGAGCTGGAGGAGGGTGATGGCGGTGCTAAGGCCATGGTGTCTCTGCAGCCAGCCCAGCTGGTGTGGCAGGGTGCTGGTGGTGCTAGCGTTTGGAAGGCTCCTGCCACATGGCTGGCTGTCCCCTAGGTGAGTCCTGCTGGGCCTCCCATCCACTCAGGGATGCCCTGGGTCTGTATCATGTTGCCTTTTCCCACCTCAGCGGGACTGTGGCATGGCTCATGCCGAACTTGTGGTAGTGGTGGACTGTGAGCTCCCAGGCTGTGACACTGCCAGCCTCAGGCAGCCCAGCTCCCCAAGCAGGGCTGAGCCCATCCTGTAGTGCCAGGAGATGCCTGCTGTGCTCTGGGCCCACATCCTCTCTCTCACAAGCCCTTGGCGCAGCACCATGCAGCCTGGCAGGGAGAGGCATCCCCATTTCCCCATGCTGACCTGCAGGACGGGGTTCAGGGGCTCCCCATGACCTCACAGGCCCCACTGCCAGGCTGCCATTGCTGCCCATCTCCAGGGCCATCCAATTCCCCGTCCCCACCCCAGCCAGAGCCACACGGCTGCTGCAGAGAAGGTGCTGGTTTAATGCTGCAGCTCAACCTGGAGCGAGCTCTGTGACAACACACTACTTGGAGCGACTGTGCCCAAACGGGAGTCCTATCCCCAAGCCCCCAGGCTCAACTGTGCTTGTTGATCTGACGGGAATGAGCGTGCACAGCTTCCACGAAGGCACCCACGTGCTCGGGGCTCATGTCAGGGTAGAGGCCGTGGCCCAGGTTGGCGATGTAGCGTTGGGTCCCAAAACCCTCCAGCATCTTCTTCACCAGCTCGCCAATCTTCTCCTGCAGGCATGGTGGGAAACCATGTGTCAGCCTCATCCAGCCCAGGGTGCTCTACCCCCACCAGTCCCCAGCCAGGCTGGGGGCCTGCTGGGACATGAGCCAGCACCACAGGTGAGGAAACTGAGGCAGGAGGCATTTAACACAGTCTGGAACTAGTGCCTGTTGCTGGCGATGGCCACAGCTCACCTTGGGTGCATAGAGCGCGCAGGGATCCAGGTTCCCTTGCAGGGTGACATCTTTCCCTGTCTGTGCACTGCAGCAGGGAGAAAGCAGGTGAGTTGCTGCGTGTGGTGCAGAGACTGGAGGTAGCCGGGTGTCTGCAGCCCCACTGTAGGGCACACGGGACCCCTCAGTGCAGCCCCTGGCTGCTGTGAGATCCACGTAGCATTAGGGGCCGAAGTACTCCCACCTCTGGAGCAGAAATCTCCAGGCCTGGGATGGCTCAGGGCAGAGGAAGAGGTCAGGGTACCTGGCTTGGGGTGCTGCCCAGGCACCTGAGCACTCTGCCAGACTCTTACCGAGCTTCCTGGGGCCGGATGGTCCAGTCGAGACCGACCACCTCGTAACCGGCATGGGCCAGGTCGCGCAGCGCGTAGTGTGCATCCTTCGCAAAGATGATCTGGGGACAGAGGAGGCAGGCAGTAACTCCACAATGGGTCAGGCCCCTCTCCATGGGCTAGACTGGGGGAGGCAGGTACCAGGACATGCCCCCCTTTCCAGCAGCCCCTAATTGCCAGGGTCAACCCAGGCAGCCCCCACTCACCATGGGCACCTGGGGCAGTGCCTCCTCCTTCAGCTTCCTCTTGACAGCCTGGGCGATGTCTTGGATGTAAGGTAGAGCAAAGTCCTGAAACTGCTCCGGGCCCAGGTGCCCCGCATGGGACTCAAACAGCTGGAGCGCCTGCCGGGGACATGGAGCTGGGAGAGCCGCACCTCAGTCCCTCCTCTTCCTCCCAGAAGCTGGACCCTCTCTGCTACCTGTCCCCAGTCCCTGCCTTCCGGCCTGGCCCTATCCCCATGTCCCAGAACACACCTGCGCTCCAGCAGCCACCTGCCCCACCAGGTAGTCAGTGATGACATCGGCTAGCAGCCGCAGCAGTTGGTGGCTTGCCTCGGGGTGACGGTAGAGCCAGCTCTTGGCCTTGGACATCGTAGTGGAGCCACCACCTTCAATCATGTAAGACATGAGCGTCCACTGCAGGAAGGAGAGGAGTGGAGTGAGGCAGGTGACGGAGATGGAAGAAGACGTGAGGGGCTGGTCACAGTGCTGAAGGGTAGGACCTGTGAGCACCCCAGAGCCTGGGGCATAGTCAATCCTGCATTGACCCACATACACACCCCTAGAGCACCCATAGCTCTGGGGGTGCCATGGCTGGTATCACCCCAGGAGAAAGAGCAGAGAAGCCCAGCTGGGAAGCCCACATGGAGGACCCACATCACTTACAGGTGCCCCGGAGAAGCCAATGAGGGGCACCCTGCCCTCCAGGCTGTGTCGTGTCAGCGTGATGGCCTGGAAGACGTAACCCAGCTCCGCGGTCACATCCACCTTCTGTCGCAGTTTCAGCAGATCCTCCACCTCCTTCAGGGGCTCTGTGAAGGTGGGTCCTTTGCCAGGGACCATGACAACCTCCATGCCCAGTGCCTGGGGACAGGGGAGAATGGAAGAGGCAGGAATGGGGTGGCCCTGAACCCAGCCCTGTTCCCAGCTGCTGCTCCCCACCACAGGCCATGGCTCTCACCTGGGGCACCACCAAGATATCGGAAAAGATGATGGCAGCATCCAGGGGGAATCGTCTGAGTGGCTGCAGAGGGGAAGAGGCAGTGTCAGTGAGGGGCTGGGACCCCCTCCCCACAGAGGACCTGGACAAGCACATGGGGCAGTGGGGTCCCTAAGGGCTGCACAACTTGCTGGGCCCACCCAGGGTGGCCAGACCCAAGGTTTCTCCCTGTCCTGATGGGGACAGGGACAGGAGACACGCAGACCCCCTGGGGATGCTCACCTGCAGCGTCAGCTCACAGCACAATTTGGGGCTCCGGCAAGTGGCGAAGAAATCCTGCGCTGCCCGGGTCTCCCGAAACTCTGCAAGGGACCATCATGAGTGTTACTGGGTGCATGCTGGACCCCCCTTGCTGTCCCACCTGCCTCCACCCACTCACCGGGCAGGTAGCGCCCTGCCTGCCGCATGCACCACACTGGGGTGTGCTCCGTCTCCTCCCCGCGCGCCGCTCGCAGGAACGTGTCGTTCTTCAGCTTGGGGAAGCCCTTGGGGCTGCAGACAAAAGAGCAGATACTCGTTGTCCCCCACGAGGGGCCTGGGTGCCCTGCCAGATCCCCACGGCTGGGGGCAGGGGGTGCCAGGACCAGTGGCTTGTCCCCACTCCCCTGTCAGTGACCACAGGAAAGGGCTTCTGCCCAGCTGTGACAAACGTGACAAATGCTCCCCATCATGGTCCAGGGCCTCTTCCTGCTCGGGATCACAGGGCCCTCGCTGGGGAGAGGCGATGCCCGGCCCAGGGCTCCGTGAGATTAGGTTATCAGGGCCAGCAGTAGCTCTCGCCTGGAGAGATCTGGGGCCAGCGGGGCGCGGGGGTGGACAGCCCTGCCACCGGCGTCCCCAGCCCCTATCTGTGCCGTGCAGCCCCCAGAGGCCCAGCCGTCTGCCGAGGTGGCAACCACGCGTCCCCAGCACCCCCCCCGCGGTGTCCCCGCCTCGGG